AATGGCTACTTGCAAATAAACAGATTAGAAATTGCAAAATAAACTGTAGTTGGAATTGTCAATTCCAATCACAAGGAACAAACACTTGGGAGAGAAATTCCGCCTGGGTCAAGATTTACTCTACTTACGTAGAATTTTCAAGTGTCCAGAATTTGCCACATTCTTAAATACAGCTTTAAGAACAAACTACAACTTCAACGGTAAGACTCAATCCAACAATTTTCTAAATTCTGGACTAACTAAAAAGGCAGATAAACAGACTAAATTTAGACCCAAGTGGAATTTCTTCCCCGCTCTGCATGATCAAGAATAGCTTTTTAGAGAAATTAGTTAAAATTCAGTTTAAATAATGTACACCATGAAATCTTACTTCCCAGTAAAAGTTTGCAAAGATGAAAATGACCTGCAGCGATAGATGTTCTGATCAATTTTTTTCTGTTTTTTTAAGCCGACCGAGTCAAATAAACATATAGCGAGATTTACTTTTTAATTTCTGTGACATGAATCAACTTTCGACATTAACTGATGTAACCTCACCAAGCTACTAGCTCTCTTCAGCTTGGCTCAGTTAATCAAACAACAAGAACCAACTTGGTTATGATCAAGAAGGCCCTTCCAGAATGAGCCACATTTCTAAAAACAGTGACCGCATTTATCGGTAATTACGTGAGATATTTGAGACTGTTCCTGCGATTAAGTGCAATGCATATGCAAGCTATATCTTCTTTCTATTTTGTTGGGGGGGGGGTTTCAGCCATTCCCAATCTTGTTGTGATATGTAATTCATTAATTAATTCACATTCTCCAGCAAGTATAGTTGGGAGCAGGAACTCTTGAGTGATGTTTTCCACCACTCAGCCAATTTGGTGGTGAGACCCCAAAAATTCAAATTTTACAGTCTCTTATCACGTGGCAACACCTCAAAACATTTCAGAGGCTATTAACCTCAAGTGGCTGTTTTGGTAGGCAAATATGGTGGTCAGCAAAGCCAACAAACAGCAATGAAGTGTATTAATCTGAAGGACTGTTGGCCAGGACACTGGACCCATTGTGGCACCTCCACTGTCGTTGCTGCTGAAATCCATTAATTCAACCCAGACCAGGGATCAAACCTGAACCTTCTAGGTCTGTAGTGGCTCCATGCCACACAACAGGATGTCTGTCTTTATCAACTGAACCATAGGGGAATTCACCCCCCTTTTAAATGTTCTACCAACATGAAAAGTATTTTTTATAAAAACACGACATAATAGCTGGTATATATTTAATGTGGCAGCCAGGAGACGAATACCTGCAGCATTCTATGTCAATGCGCTGCATTATAAATTAAATATGTGCAGAACTTTCATTCGTACAATCCCAGTGAAACAATATTTATCCCAGTAAAAGCACAAAGCTCTTTCAGAGTGTTTATTATGTATGAGAAGAATGATCAAACCCTCATCTAGCCATCTGCTCTTCATCAAAAAATATGTTGTTTTTGGCACTAAGTGTTATTCCCTTTCATCTAGTGCAAAAAAGGCAGTTCAGTGCTCATCCACAGGTCACATTTGACTGATTTAACAAATCTGCTCAAATTTGATTTTATTTACTTCATTTCAGGCAAATAAAAACAAGAGGTGTCTGACTTTCTAGATTAACATTTAGGAGGTAGAGCCATTTAAAATGAAGATACGATCCTTTTTTCTTTTTCAGATTTAAGGGTTGATGACAACAAATCTCTTCCATGTCCTTGGCTGGGAGACGACAGGTAGCATTTCATTTTAATAACTACTGCACTGATAAACTCAGGAGTTTTGATTCCTTATATGCAGGGGGTAGATATTAAGTCATCTGTTAACACTGATTTTGTGACACTATTTTTGTTAAGATTACTTGGGGTGATTCAGTTTCAGAATACTCACAATAACATTCAAAGACTCTCATCATAAAAAAATAGGTTTAAATCATGTTTTTTATTTCACTGTTTTTGCTTTAGTTTTGATGGATTACCAATAAGTAGGGATCATAAAACATTCAATGTCACTCAGTTAAAATTGCTAGGAGGAGTTTGACTGCATGTTCCCAATATTTGTTTTCCCAAACAAATGTCATGTCGACTTATGGATTTCCACTCATCAGAATATCAGAATCGCTCCAGTAAAATTCTATTGTTCTTCTCTCCGTCTTGTTATTAACCAGGTGTTAACTTCTCTACCAAGGAGAAAATTCTCACCATCCACAGAATCAATTTAAACACGGGGCAGGATTGATGGCCAGGTGAAAACTTGATGTATGAAAGTCGAAGAATGCACTAAGTCAACAGTAAATGTTCCCATGAACAAAACACAAAATACTGCAGATGCTGGAAATCTGAAACAAAAACAGAGCTGAGAAAGCTCAGCAGGTCAGGCAGCATCTATGGAGAAAGGAAAGTGAGTCAACGTTTCAGGTCCACCACCCTTCGTCAGAACGGACAAAGGGTTCTGACGAACAAAGGGTTCTGACGAAGGGTCATGGACCCAAAATGTTGATTCACTTTCCTTTCTCCATAGATGCTGCTTGACGTGCTGAATTTTCCCAGCTCTCTCTGTTTTTGTTTCAGTAAATGTTCCCTTTTGAATAGATTGAATAAAGCACTTAACAAAAGTATCACTCAATCCTGTGTAGTAAATATGTCTGCATACGGTTGGCTTATAGTCGAATTGGAGTCAGATGGAACTCACTGAAGATTGTCAGATGTGAATTTTGACAATATGATATTTCATAACATCAAATTTGTTCTGAACTTTAGCATTTTTTGCCACCTACAAGTTATTGTAAGGAAAAAACATAACTGGGGTACATACTTTTAAGAGCTGTATAGCTTTAAACAGTGTTTTAAACCAGATTAATTATTGGTTGTGAAGCCTTTAATAAAGGGCATTGGAACATATCAAGGCTGCTTCAGTGTACCTTTCTAGTAGGTTTACTTTCCCAAGAATTCACACAACATGGTATGTGATTTTCTGAGTGAAGTAATTCTTTGAAACATTTTGCTGTAGTTTTGATCCCCGTTATGACAGTGTAACATTTTATCCCTTGCAATACCAAGGTATCAAGTTAGACACACGCACATATACAAATATGATAAGTAATTCTGTATAACCAGAACATAAAATAGATAAATAATGAAAGGTAAATAGCTTACAGGGGCTAATTTTAGATGAGGAATTTTACTGGAATGTCTTGACTGTACAAACACATAATCTCTGCAAGAAGAAGAAAAATATTGTGACTGGCAATACCGATAATCTCTGACATTTGTGAGCGAAACATGTGAAGCATTTTGTATTGTTGAATGTCCCTCTACCATGCTGCCATCTGCCACATAGTCATGCCTCTTCTATTATTTTAATAGGAAACTGGTTGCTCCACATATCACATCAATATTAGAGATAGAATGCAGGTAAGTCCCTAGATATTAGTTAAAATGTATAGAACTGCCATGACCAATGTAATGTTTCCTGAAGCTGGTCAAATATGATAATTCTTAATTATTACACTTTAGTTATTAGCTAGATGTAAAGTCGTATCCCTGTTATCCTGGTTTATATTCCCGTCCTAATCCAAATTCAAATTAACTGGCTGCTCATTTTATTGTTGCTTAAGGGATGTTGCTGGTGCAGACTAGCTTCCTTGTTGGTCTATTTAACAACCTTCACTTCATTTCTAATCCATTATATTTCATGCAGCATGTTCATATACTTTATGTCCTGGTACAATTTAAACTTACCTTTGGAAAGAATATGCATTAATTGCTAAATCTGTCTATCCTGTTGACTTTATTATTTAGTTAAATATATATTTTTTTACAACTGAGCACCATTTTTTAAATTAAAAGATGGAACTTAACCACACTTCGTCCAACATGAAGTAATAATCGGTAAGTAATGGACATTTAAAAATAAGTCAACAGGGCGAAACTTAGTGCATTTATTTCAAAACATCTGAACTGGCCAATGAGAATATTGACACTGGCAAAATCCAGTGTATATATTTGAACAGAATATTTTAAGGAAGGAAAAAATCTGTTTTGAAATTTAGACTGCAAACTCCTTCGCCTTCCAATCAATACAAATTCCCATCTGGGTGATATTCTGGGAACGAAAATCACATGAAAGTGATAAAGACCTGCACACTCATTATCCGAAGCTCCCAATGCATGTCACCAATCTTTTCATTTTCTCACATTGAAAAGATAATTCAAACATCTCCCTGCAGCAGTTAACAGAGTAGAAGTGCTGAGTCTTTTGGTGAAGACATTTAATATGTTTGAGAATTGCTGTCACCATAATACCAGTCTGTTATCATTGCATGAGGCAACAAATTCCAAATGCCTACTCAAAACCGCAATAAAACAAAATGATTTCAAGGAAGAAACCAGAGATGATAAACTGAAAATTGGTTATTATATAGAAGATGCAAATCAAACTTCTTTCTGTAGAACAACATATTTAATATATTTGACTAATAATTTGGTCCAAATTGCAACAATTTCTAGTGGGTTTTCCTAATAATGACCCAGAGACTGACACAGAATATTTTGGCAACCAGATGCATGTCATCCTAACTTGTGCGACATTTACTGCTCTGAATGCTGATCTGCTCTGACATTTACTGTGTTGGAGATCAAATTACCACCGTCTTCTGGAAAGGAATAATCTGTGTGTTGTTTGGAACACATCTCAAGATTTACCTCTTTGACCATGCTTACAGTCATCTTTTCCCTTCCCACCCACTTCAGCTCCCACCCCCAGCTTGAGAGCTCAGCTAACTGTCAAGCGCTTTGAGATTTCCTCCCAACATGAAAGCCTCTCTATAAATGTAAATCGTAATGGAAAGAACTGATGATTATTATTTTCATGTTCACCCCATTTCTCCACCATCTGTTCTGGGATCTTTTGATATCCCAACATCTTGAAGTACTGTAGTACTTTTACACTACTGTTAGAATACTGGTATAAAAAATATGACCTTACCTCCCAAGATGACCATATGCATATTTTCCATCAGAGATCACAAGAGCGATTTCATTCAATTCCATTGAATACGCACAGAGTTCAAGAGCCTACATGAAACAAAAACACATCCAAGCATTCATTTGCGGAAATTTATACATTTTCAAGGTGTATCATATGGGACAGCTGTATGTATTTTTGTGCAAAAGTATGGATAGAATTACATTAAGCTCATTTGTATGTGTACTTCTGTAGCCCCAGTGCTGCTTAATTTACAGGGCTCTGACACCATTAACACTTAAGAACAACAACAGATGGCATTTGGATAGAACCCTTCTGTTGAACTATATCTTAGAGTGCTTTGTACTGGTGGGGGTTGGACGTTGAGCAAGGGAAAGAGAGAAATGACCCTAGGTGAGGGAGAGGAGGTAGGTTTTAAGGTTGGAACTTGAAGACAGATAGAGAGTGAGTGAGGTGGAGGGATAGAGCCAGGTAGTTCCAGAGATTAGGGGCATAGTGACTGAACATATTAACACATTAGAACCAAACCTTATTATGATCAACTCAGGTTACCAAACTGAATGTGAGATAATTCCAAGATATTTGTTGATTTGCAAATGAAACAAAGCTCAACATATTTACCAGCATTGAAAAATAAAGATTCTTGTTCAGGTAAATTTAAAATAATTTGTATATCATGACACATTTTTATTTCAATTGAGCTGAAAGGAACATGATTTCCAGCAGGTAAAACTAGGAGGTGTGTAAAACCTTCAGTTGCAGTGAAGAGCTTAAACAAGTCTGACGTTGGTGACTAATCCTGTGAAATGACCTTTCATGAAATTGAAATTTTTCAACTGTGGGAATGATTCATTTCAGTTGAGACTAACAGTGAGACCTGAGTGAATTTTTGCTGTTTAATCTAGTAGTTACAGAGTGCTTAAAAAATAGTCTCCTATCCAACCTCTTAGCCAAGATGTGATATGAATCATGCAGGAGAATATAACAGAAGGAAACTAAAATAAATTGGGTTAAATAAAACAGTAAAACATGTTGCACTCCCTGATGGTTCAGAGGATAAATGAATCATCTCATATAGTTCTGAGTCATATGGACCATGACATTTTTAAAAAAAAATAATCTGGACATCCCACACCAAGGCAAAAGGCTACCATAGCATATTGCACCGAGAACTGAATCACAGTTAATTAAACATCTGAGACCAATAATTCTTCCTCGGTCTTTAATTTGTCTTTTTTTTCTTAACATTTCAGAATGTGCAGATTTTGGCAGACTCTTCAATTCAGTCTTGAATTTGGGAAACGTTTTTCTGTAGCTCTTTAAAGAACCAGTGAAAACGTCAAAAAACTGGCTTCAAAAGTAAGGCTGAATTTAAGAATCTTCCAAAACTTGCACATTCCGAAACACTGAGGAAATAGGCTTAAGTCTAGAACCAGGTGTAAAATCTGGCCCCTGTTCATGTGGATGGAAAATTAGTCAATTTCTCTGCCCCCACCCTGAATTAGCTGTACACAAGATGACCACAGATAAACAGTGCTGATGGACATTGTAACCAAAAGGCTAGGAGCAGCCCTTTCAAGTGATAAAATAGGAGCAGCTGTTTCCTGCACTGCACACATATGTATAAATAAAGCATAGACCTTCTCATACCATAAAACAGCCAGGCAGCAGAGATATTTTAGATACCATTTCATTCCCTTTCATAAGTATGTCTTAAAGAAATCTTGCTTATAATGACCATGTTTTCCTTAAAACGTTCAAGAGAAGTTCCAGCTACAATTACCTGAGTGGGGTATTGAGGAGTTTATTTTCTAAAACTAGCTCGTCACAGATGTAATATGAGAAGTGAAGCTGCAGGTCAAATCCATGTGTGAATAATTTTTGGATTGGCTGCAGCAACACTGATCTTATCCTCGATTAGAGTGTACTTAATCATCTAATCCTTCTCCTATTGCATCTCCTCAAATATGAACCATTTGTTTGTTCAACTAAGTGCTCAAGCAGGGAAAATGTGAAATTCCTTTTATAATATCTAGTTTCATATCACGCAGTTGAACGTTGCTTTATTTTAAAATGGTTTCAAGTGCACTGGGGCTTTCATTACTGTAATAAAAAAAACACGAAGTCCACCAACAATTGTGATCACAATACTTACTGACTTTGTCCAGATTATTGATCACAACATAATGTAATGTGTAGAAGTGGGAGAGTCTGTAGACCTTCTACCACGTTACCATGTTGGTTTCCATTCACTTATGAAAGTACTAGAAGCACTGGTAGTAGCACTAGAGAGAGATCTCATTGAAGATAAACTATAATTGTTTTTCTTCTAAATGACATAAAATTACTGGAAGTATTCTGTGTTTCATTTATGGTATAAACAGAACAGGTTCTTGTGGAAATAAAGTAGTTGTGCTCTTCAAGACATACTTTTATTTAGTGAATGACTGATTTTAGCTGCAGATTGTTAGACTGGACACTGCGGTGAAAAAACCCTTCATACAGGTTGGAGTGACACTTGTCTTATATTTATCAATATAACGATTGCTCTGCATTTCCACTGAATTGATGGGACTGGCAGTTTAAATTATGTTTTTGAATTCCATTGCCTCTTATTTAAATAATTATTTTCACAGAGCAGAGCACATGATTGTACTTTATTCTCTCCACCCAAAATTCTCTTATCCCCAAATCTTCTGGTCAGAAAGAGATGTAAACGTCACAAAATGATCCCTTGTGTGTGATATATTGGCCCCAAATGTGTTTTCAAAACTTTTCTGGGAGGAATTAATCCTTGAAAAAAATACAAGTTCATAAAACATCCCACTTTTACTCAGAACAATATGAGTAAATTGAGAGCTGCTCAGCTGAGCTAACCAAATGTGTGTTCCTTTGGATTTCTGTCCTCTATTTCTAGTCATCTCTGTTTACAGGCGACCATTCATTCAAAAATAGATTGCTGTAAACTCAGCCGTCTCTCTATCAGATAACACACATAAACAGCTGGAAAGAATGGTTAGAATACATTTTCATTTAATTACTTTCAAAGGATTTGGCCAAAGGCTATTATTGCCATTGCTCTTGGCTTTTGTTTCAAGGACTCTGAATAACTTCCCGCAGTCTAAACAGCAAGAGAACAAAGAAGCAGTGGGCCTGTTTGGCTGATATCAAATCAAAGCACTTCTTAAATGTAGTCTCAACAAAATGAGATGAAAGGATGAACCTGGTAGTCAGGAATGTGATCAATGTTCTCGCAGTAATCTGTTTTGGGTATAATGTATTGGTACTGTATCTAAATTAGCTTATAATAAGACAGGGGTGGAGCCAAATTAATAATCTCTGATCAGAGGGAGGGTTAATGATGCTGAACTGTTTGATAGTTTATTATTAGTATGATCCAACAGCTTTGATGTACTATCTCTTCTTACTATTGTAGCAGGGTGATTCCTTTTAGAATTAACAAAGATTAGGTTGAGTTCTTTCGACCTAAGTAGCTTTCCCATTTCTTAAGACATATTATCAATTCAAGTGTTTTGTCAGGCATCACTGTAGATTTTTTTCCAATACCAAATCCATCAACAATCTCATTTACTTAAGCAAACCAATGCTATTATCTACGTTAGTCAAACCACAGTGTTTGCTAGTCTGCTTCTTGTTGTGTGCTTCTTTGGCAAAGTCATTCCAAATTGAGAACAAAAGTAGCCATTCAAAAATACTTAGTTCCGCTGACAGTTGAGACTTTTAAAATTAGGTCTAGCATTATATTCATAACAAAAAGATCCATCATAAAATCCAAAGCAAAGTTCCATGAGAGAAACACAATGGCTGGAAAGATAGTGTGAAATTGGGGTGTAATATGCGTTGATTTCAAATAGGATTCCTCAATAAGGAAGTGATATTTCCTTTTCACCAGAACACTTCATTTTGACCCTTATGAGCTGTGCTCCAAAAATACATATTATCAGACCAGAAGTCCCACGAGTCGATATTGAATGTAATTTGTTCTACTGGGGGATGACTTATTTCCAGGTACCCATTGTGAAGCGATTCCTGGTGATAGTGAAAGAGTAGCTGAGAACTGCTAGGAGTATTCAGCAGCTTCTGTAGTTTATTAATAGAATTGGAGACAGTTTTTTGCAAGATGGCAAAGTGAACTTTACGAATGAATAAAGAACAAAATCAATGATAATGGGGGTACTTTTTAAAAAAAAATCATACATGTGAAATGGGGAGGGGTGACAGAGGATTGTTATTCAGCTGGAAATAAAGTCTTTGATATTGAAATAAACCTTGCATTTGATAAAAGTCTTTATCGCGTCATGAAGACATCTCAAAGCACTTCACAGGATTTCACTGTGAAGTGTAGTGACGTGTATTTGCTAGCTACACTGCAGCCAATTTGCAGACAGCAGTGTCCCACAAACAGCCACAAAATGAGTGATTTTTTTTAATTTAGGGGGTTAATTGGCAAGGACACTAAGAGAAACTCCTTTCTCTTTTTGAGGTGTGCCTAGGGATCTATAACAATAGCACTATGTTGAATTGTCAGCCTAGACTGTGCATTCAAAGTCCTAATGTGGGGCTTGAACCCATGACTTTCTGACTCAGAGGAGTGAGTGCTGCCAAATAAGTTCAGGCTGACATCTGGACAGCAGAAAGGCACAGTTTAACAAAAATAGAACCAACCTGAATGACGTCCCCATCTCCAATAACAAACGTAAGCTTTGGATCCCTGTCTACTATGGTTCCGTCCTCCAGCAATCCTTGCAGCTTCATTGTGACCTCTTGACCCATGAAAGGTCTGGAAGCATCTCCGAAGCCTTCCCTCAGTATTTTTTTCTGAATCAACATATCCTCTGAAGATTGGATGATTAAAACAAAATTAAACCATCATTTCCATTCCAAGATAAAAACAGTACAAACAACTTGCATTTATGTAATGACCTTGAAATAGGATAACTTGTTGGAGCGTTGAAATCAACAGTCCCCTGCCTGATTCAGTGATGAACCTCAGCATTTAACCTTGCCTCTGCCAGTAACTCACACATAATAATAATAATCCTTGCATTTGATATAGCGCCTGGTCACGCATTCGAGACATCTCAATGCGCTTGTTAAACATCTCGTGTTCATTCACTAGTAATGTTTCCAATAACTTTTCCTGTAGCGCAGTGGTAGATCCCCATAACTGGCAATCAGAGAAGGAAGAAATATGATAAACCTGATAGTAGCCCTTTTGTCATGTCAGTGGGGGGTATGATGGATATTATTACAACTGATTACACTCTTTCCAAGTATCAACCAATTTATGACAAAGTTAAAGGGTTCTGCTTCTGAAAGGCACAATAAATGAATGGTGCATTCGAATGAATCCAATCAGAACGATCATTTAGAAAGTATTCTTTATGTTGGAAATATCTTTATTAATTTCATTGTTTGCTACCCAGTGCTATAAGTTGTGAGGAAATCTTCAGCTAATAGTTTGCTAAACAGAGTAAAATTGTTAAACCCAATGTATTGTCACTCTTTGAATTCTGCTGAAATTGCGTTTGTTGCACAAAAATATATTTTCAAAGATAGAAATAGGAGCTAAAGGTATGAGACTTTTATCATTTCTACTTTACATTGCTTATTTACAACAGATGATTCTGCATGTTTGGCTTCATGTGAGGTTTCTGAATATCGCTATTTCTGTATTTTAATAATTAAAACCACTGAATAATAGATTTCATGTATGCTTAAGTGTACTTGGGGACAGTTTAATGCTGATGCAGTGTGTTATGCAGCAACTAAAGGTAGTTAAAATGGCTTGAGAGATCAAAGGGTCAGTACTTACCTGTGATGTCAATCCAGGTTTCAGAGGCACAGATATTCTTAAAGTTGCTGACACAGCACTCTCCAATGCTGTCAATTTCAAAAAATGGAACCTGTGAGGCATCTGCATTCGAAGTTGTTATTGTCTCTGGAGGAAGCTGGAACCTTACAGTCTTATTGGAACTGGGAGCTTTTTCCATTTTTGTTCGTTCTGCCTCCTCAGTAATGACAGATGCCATAGCTCACTCTTTTGTGGTTTTAAAAACTGCCCTGCCGATGTCTTCAGACAGATCGTCAACTCTATCCACTTGAAGCTTTAAATGTTGTTTATCTGTTTCTGCAACCAAGGCCTCACCATCTGGACAAGCCTTGGGATGTGTACAGCACTGAATCCTTTCTATATCTACCCAATTAACTGAGCGTTTTTATCCTCTTCCGGTTCTGCCAATGTCTCACCATCTGCACTGACCGATGGCTGGATTCAGTGCAAAGATATTTCTGTATCCGTACGATTTACTGATTCTCCTTTACTTTCTGCAAGTCATTCCCCGATTTGTTGAATCTCTGGAAGAATACTTAGCTGAATCAACTTTTACAGACTGTCAGAGTCCAATGTTTATAAAGTGAAGCCACAAAATAATGAAGAATACTTTTCAATGAACGAGTTCAACGGAAAGACAGTCGAGAATTGCTGAAGTATTCAGTAAAAGAGAAAATCCTGAACATGCTGCGGACGATAGAAATAGAACTGAAATGGTGTTACAGACACCAGATAACGTCAGTAAGAAGTCTGCAAGATAAGCTCCGTAGATTAGAAGCATAAAATCCTATCTAGAAAGTGCCAGTCAAAACCAATTCATTGTCGAGCATTTAAATGACTTCATTCATTTTTAAAAAAACATTTTAAAAAATTCCAAAACAAACAGTAGCAACGGTTCACCAAGTTGACCCTAACTCTCTTGTGTAGTCTTAGAAATGATTGCCTTCATTTCTAGAACTGCACAAATAACCCTGACTTTCCTGTTCCTGTGGCCTCAATCATGTGATGTATCATAAGTATACCCTCTGTGAGGCTGATCTATATTTACCCCAAGCCAGATTACAAATATTACCTGAATATTTGACCAAGTCTCAGGAGTAAATATGGAAGGCATATAAATAGATGGGAAGCACTTTCATATGTTATGCAATGTTTCAGTTCAGTTATCGTCAGTTTACTATTTGTTGCAAGTGGTGGATTAGCATCACTGTTCTCCTTATGTAACTACATCATGTCCATAATTCTTGAAATTGACAATATTTTTTTCAGGTACGAGAGTTAATGTTGTGATTTTTAAAGTATGCAAAAACTACTGTGGATTACCAAATTTATAGCATGGATGTTGAGAATGTAGCATATGTAGCATTAAATATTTTAAAAGGTTATTTTCAATATTTAAACAATGGCAGAAGTAGCAGAAGCTTTTACTTTTTAAATACATAATATGCGAGGCAGATGTCTTGGTAAAACATTTGGAGCAATACACATCATAAATTTAGAAAGATTAGACTACAGACATAACTTAGGTCATTACATAGAATCAATTAACCCAATTCTTCCCCAGTAAGACATATATAGACATATATTAACCTCTCAATTTAATTGTACAGCCACTGCTGTATGCAAAATTTCTGTCAGGTTTTGCATAGATTTTGTGCAAACATCTATATTTCCATATTTATGAAGCACTAAAGTTATTGGACTTGTTAAAGTCTTGTAAAAGGCCATTGAATAAGAATTTATGCCTCATTAATACTGAATATTGTATATAGATCAAACTGAGTATTTGTTGAGAGCAAAGGCAATACGTTGACATTTAGAGGTGAGCAGTGAAGAGGAAAGGACAGCCTGGAAATCCAGTTTAAACAGCTAATAAAAAGATCACTCTGTTTTGCTTCAGTACAAGCTAGATAGCATTGACTGTCGCATACCATAATACTTCCCTCCTTCTCTGCATGTTTGGAGCTCTCCTCCACCACCAAAACTCTCAGCAAAGACTTGCAGGCTCTCATCCGAAAATCATCCAATACAATTGGATTTTGTTGGACCTAAAATTTCACGCTTCACATCTGGATGAATGGACTTTCTACTTTTATTAATAGAAATGGATTGTTGATAATTTACATGATGAAATATTCTTCATTGAAGGTCCTCCCCCCCCCCCCCCCCCCACCCTTTATTGGTTGCAACATCAACTCTAACAAAATTACAATTCCCACACTCCAATGACATGTTGGGCATCATTGCAATTTTACGATCAATAGTAACTAAGATACTATACATGTTGCTGGGGTATTTTGTTCTGGGTTAAAACCTCTTGGTCAAATCTATGACATCCAACTTTTACAGCTCTTGTAAAAGAGGAAACACATTGCTGTGGAATCAAACGTTCTAGCACTATTTACAAATGTAGAACAATAATATTGCTTAAATCTGGAATGCTATTCATTTATACAACTCACTGAGTCTGGTAACATTTTCTTAAAAGTCTTAAACCTTCAAGACAAATAATAAAAATGGCTTACTTCCTCTCGTTCCAGTAATTTGTGTATTAATAGAAATGTATTTTAACCTCAGAAAGAAAATCCAATTAACCTTATGTGATGTTATCTCACCAAAGCCTCAATGCAATTTAAACAACATATGCACTTCACGCTTTTTAACTTCATATACCCTACCTTATTGATTTTTAAATACATTCCAAATTAATTCAGCCATTCCTTAATTCCGTTCTTTCAAAATAAATCTGGCATGTATTATTTTCACTCTTTCCAGTGTTTGTTTGGCATTATTTTGCTTACCTTAAAAGTCTTGCATGTCACTTCCTCTCCTATTTTTATGACTATTTGTTCTGGTTAAATAAAATCTATTGGTAAAAGATGAACTGGCTTTGTGCTGTGAATTCTCAAGCATGAAGATATGCAGCATTAATGAAACGTTATGAATTTACCAGTGACAGGAGAATCACCCCTAAGATAGTTCTGGAATAGAGCTTTCTGCTGCCATGGTTAAATATACTCCATTCCATGTTTTGTGGCAGATCATCAACTGCATGATTATTAAACTTAAAAAAAGTCACAGTGTGAGCAGGAACATGTGGTTGAGAAAGGTAGTGTAAAACTCACTGTACTTTTTAAAGTCAGTTGTTAATTGATATTCGCCGTATATATCTGAATCATTTGGTGGAAGTCAATCAGTATGAGACTGTTCTATCATTCTTATTTGTACACCCACGATATGGCTCGCTTTCCCTCAAAGTGTACTAGGTGGCCTCTGTGTTCAATCCTCACTAATGAGTGCAGGTCCCTATAACTAGGTGTAACCTGACTAATGAATTCTTCCACGACAATAGGTACTACCAATTGCTATTTAAATTAAAGCAAATTGGGAAGCTTCAATCAACCAGAGGTTTATTTTACATCTCGGTGACCTAGGTTGATCCTGTTTGTGTATTCCCTCCTTTGATTTTATACAGAAAGCTCGAATTAAAGCACGGTTAAGTTAGCTCAACAGAATTTTATTGCAGCTTCAATAAAATCCACAACACTCTGCATTAAATCTTAAACAGTATGATAAATATCAACAAATACAACTATAAAATAACAAACATTGATCACACTTAAACTACGCACACTAGCAGCCACTTGTAATGAAGTTATCAACACTGCTCATCAATAGTCAGAGCACGTACATTTGTTGTCATCAGGTAGAAAAATAGCAACCACAAGCACATGGCACTCGTTCTTTTATGGGCATTGAACCCCTCCCCGAATTAGGGTACCCAATGGCAATTGTATAGCACCAATTATTTCATGTAATTGGTGCCTTTTTTATGGTCCAATCAGATCTTCCCCTCAGCTGCCCATTTGGGGACAAGTATACTTCCAATCGTTCATTTGCATATTGGAAAAGTAAGTTACCCGCCAAATTGTTGCAATCGGTGCTAGAGTCAGATTTGATAGCTCCATAAGTGTCAAAAACGTTAAATACATTTTAAAAAATGTACTTAAAGAGTTACTCAATATATTTAAACAAGAGACAAGCATAGAAAACAACAGGGGTGACCATGACAAATAAAACAGGTTTTTCTCTGAAGAACAATAAATTCTCAACTTTCATGAGCTGTAAGTATAACTGGAGTGAGCCTGCAACCCTGACTTCAGTTCCCAGCACTCTTGTCTCTGAGTCAGAAGGTTGTGAACTCAAACAAACCCCATGTTGAATCTCACAAGGTCCTGTCGGTACCTGCTCAGGTGGATGTTACGCATCTCAAGGTACAACTCAAAAAAGAGAAGGGTGTTTCTGTTGGTGTCCTGGACAACAATGCTCCAGATAAAAATGGTCATTCCCTCCATGGTTGTTTGTGGGACATTGCATTTGCCTACAAAATATGCAGTTGTTGCACTTCAAAGCAAAATCTTGTAAAGTTCTTTGATATCCTCCTGATGTGAAAAAATATATCAAATGCAAAGGTTATTATTTTTTTTAACCCTTGTGTGAAATGAGTTCCAAGCAATAAATTATTTTTGCTTCTGTGATTTGTGCTTATTGCACGCAAGCCAGGCTCCTGATTTTCCGAGAGGGCCTCCTGAACGCGTTCACGGGGGTTTTCTAAATCCTGTGACAATTCACAGTGAGGTCTTGTGTGTACTTAAGCCTCTTCGGGATGTGGTCTTGGCACTCAGGTTCGTTACTTGTCATCAGAATGGTTCGCTTTTGTTCGTGGAATCTGAACGTGAAGAATTGACCAGTTTAGTGCAATGTTAGGGCAAGGGGAGGAAGAGAGCCAAAGTTTGGAGCAGAGAAACTCCAAAACAACCACACGTGGAAAGAATTCGCCAGGCAGGAAGGATGATGGGTGAAGCTTCTACTGGTATTCTGTGAAGGCTTTTAGGATTGACAGAAATTTGAGGTGCATACACAGCAGCCCTGTTCTTGTAAAGAGTTGTCTAGAGGACTAGTGACTCTTTTGCTGAAGTCCATTCATCCTTGAGCAGGTCTTCAGATATCAGCAATCCTCGACCACTTAATTAACGTTTGTATCTTTAAAGCTATTGAGGAGAAGCCTGATCCCTGATTTTCCCATTTTCTCTCCTGGCTTCTGTGTTCTATTCAGTAAGATTCTGCAATTGGGAGCAATTGTCAGGGCTGTCCCAGAAAATCAGCTTCCAAGGTACACGCTAAACTGTGTAAACTTTG